GCATTCTTGCCTGCCTTCCTCTTTTTTTGGGACGCATTGCTCCTGAACTCGGAGGAGGTGGTCCTTGAATACAGACCAGCTTTCTTGGGCCCCTCTCCCCTTCAGGGTTTCATCTCATGGTACTCCACTAAGCAGATCCCTGAAGAGGTCAAAGTCTGCTCTCTTGAAGTCCAGGGCAGTGAGCTTGCTGTGCACCCTCCTTGTTGCCCTGAGGATCTTGAATTCTAACATTTCATGGTCACTGCAGCCAAGGCTTCCCTTGAGCTTCATGTTAGCCACCAGCCCCTCCTTGTTGCTGAGAACAAGGTCCAGCATGGTACCCCTTCTAATCGGTTCTTACCACTTGGAGAAGGAAATCATCATCAATGCATTCCAGGAACCTCCTGGATTGCTGTGAGCCTTCCTTCCAACAGATATCCAGGTGACTGAAGTCCTCCATGAGGACCAGGGCTTGTGAATGTGAAGCCGCTCCTATCTATCTATAGAGGGCTCGATCATCCTGGTCAGGTGGCCTGCAGCAGATCTTCACTATGATATCACCTTCCTCTGCCTTTCCTCTAACCCTGACCCATAAACTCTCGGTCAACTCCTCATCCACCCCCAGGCCAAGCCCCAAGGACTCCAGCTGGTCCTTGACATAAAGGGCAACAGCCCCTCCTCTTCTGCCCTGCCTGTCTTTCCTAAAAAGCCTGTACCCATCTAATCCTACAGTCCATTCATAGTAGCTATTCCACCATGTCTCAGTGATGCCTATAACATCATAGCCTTGTAGATGTGCACACATCTCTAATTCCTCTTGTTTGTTCTCCATGCTCCATGTGTTTGCACAGAGGCACTTAAGTGGGTCCCCCATGGAAGCTGACTTACCAGCTGGAACGCTTAATGGCTGGAATTCATTGTCTTGCACTTCCTGTGCTCGCTCGCTGGCCTGTGATCCATCTCCAAGGTCAGGGCATCTATTTTCAGCACTGGCCTTGAAGTGGGGTGGATTGAGGATCCCATCCCCCAGCAAATCCAGGGCCCTCCTTACTAGACTGGCTAGCCTTTGTCCAAAGATGTTCTCCCCCTTCTCTGAGAGATGTACCCCATCAGCCCCCAGGAGACCAGCTTTCTCAAAGTGAGTCCCATGGTCCCAGTAGCCGGAGCCCTGGCTGTGGCACCACTCCTTCAGACATTAATTTATTTTCCTGATTATCAGTTTTCCTTTATTCTCATTTTTTTCCCCTGTCACTGTGGTTTGACTTTTTTAAGTTCCACTTTTGATAATGTCTTGGGTATCTTGGGGAAGCAGTATTAATGTTCTAGTTTTGCAGTACATGTGGGCTGAGAAAACAGAGCTGAATTCTCTGACCTACATGTGAAAATATAAACACATTTACTATATAGAGCCAGTTAGACAGAAAAACGTATTACTATGGTTGTGCACTGAACAAGGTAATTATTCTTCTCAGCCTTAGTCTTACGTTAGTAAAATGGAGACATACTCTCTTTCAAAAAAGCCTTAGGTTTTAGGAGTTAAGTCATACAGCTCTCCAACAATTGTTAGAACTACTGTTTCAAATAGTACATCATAATTCAGAATATCACAACAGTCACTTCCATCTATATCCAATATCAACTCAATGGTTACTACAGGATAGTACAGTTATAGCCAGAGGGAAAATCATTATCAATTATATCAATGTAGACTACTATTACTTCCTCCACTGCTGTATTTCATATTCTCGATTAAAGCATTAAAAGATTATTTCTTCATAAGAGCAAAGAAAATGTAGTGATTATCATAGATTTTTCTTCAAAATTCTCCCTGGAAAGGACAGTTATACATTACATAGGTGTATACTTGAAGGCACAACCTTACTCCTCAATATATTAAAAATCAAATTTTAGTCTTAAAATAGCTGTACTCGTTTCAGAGGGTTAAGTTTTGTTCTTTCAGAAATTAAATACAAGTTCAGTCCCAACAGCCTCCTTTTCAAATATCTTCCCCACTTTTGTTTCTTTAACTCTATACGTGTAAACTAAGAATCATTTGAAAAGCATCAAGTAGATATCAATTCTTTACCGTCAAAGTTACACTTTGAAAGAGACTGGGAGACAGAGGGGGGAAAGAACAGAAGTTAGTTGAAAATCTGAACCCCATCCTGCATCCACAGCCATTCAGTCAGGAACAGAAACAAGCTAGCTACACTAGGCATCAAAGAAATATGTTTAGAACAGCCACCCACTTTGCAGTATTGAAGAAGACATGAGAAAGACCCTCAGGTTTGACTGTATGCTTTGAGGGCATGGAGATTCACCCAGTTACTAAGATTAAAGTCACCAGCAAATGTTTCCCAAATGTTGCTCCTTTTTGGAGGGAGATATTTCCCCTTTCAACTGCCCACCTGTAGATTTTTCCATAATTCAGAGCAGCTCCCTTCTTTCAGCAATGGGACATACTTAGCCAAGAGACTACTAATCTTAGTAATGATAATGGACACTGAGAGAAAGGACAATAAATGAAACAGTTCATTTGAAAATTTTCCATAATTAATGCACGATGCAAATAACTCATTTATTTAGCAAGATAAGATCTAACCTTGGATTATTTTAACCACATGTTACTAATTTCAGCAACTATATATCTGAAAAAATCACTATTCTGGACCTTCTCTCCTTTTTGACAAAGAATGCCTTTAATATCTTCACCATCTTCTGTCTGGAAAGCAATCTCATCTCAGAACCAAACAATACTTCTATATATTGGGAGGACAACTGTTTGGATGATATCATGAGTCCTTTTACCTGGCTGTTTCCAAATTTTATTAACTGAAGACTAAGAAGCTGGGACAAGAAATCCAGCCTGCTTATTACAGCTCTGTACAAACCAGACATAAGAAACAAACTCCAAAGAAAATAAGACCTTGAATTAGAAAATAATTATCTCAACATTTCCCAATAAACAAACACAAAATAATGCAATTAAAGCAATAAATCATGTACTTCATACCAGGCTGTCCCACAGGACTGGTGAACCATGTAGACAAAAATGGCAGGCCAGACATCCTCATATGGGCTGATATCAAAGTGGTATCTAAGAAGAAAGTTTCAGCTTAGTAAGGACAAACACCTTTTCATTCTTGCTAAAAGCAAGTGAAAACGACTAGGTAACGTATATCTTGTTTCTGAATATACACGTAAAACTGACTTTACAGGCTATATTTTCCAGCGATGTAAGTTAAGGTCAATGGAACTACTCTTATAGAATCATGGAATCATTTAGGTTGGAAAAGACCCTTAAGATCATCGAGTTCAACTGCTAGCCTGTGGCTTTGTTTAGTTAATAGAAAGAGAAATCTTTATTTAAGAACCCATTGCTTAAGAATCTTTGTACTACAGGGATGATGAAAGTTTTACAGGCACTCCTAAAATATTCCAAACTTTACTCCCAGGAATTCTAAAGATGGTGTCTCTAATAATATATTTATTGGGTTTTTTTGTTTTTTTTTTTCCAATAATTTCTGTCACAAATAAAACTCACTCTAATTTTGATAGAGGAAAAGAAAAAAAAAAAAATCAACTTTTACTGGCTAATAGAAATTAAGCCCAAACCTCAGGAATCAAACATTTAATACTGCATTTTTTATGTTTCATCAGCTGAGGACTTCTCCCCTCTCCACACATCAACATTCAGGCCAAATATTAGGGACCCACTCAGCAGAACTGTTTGGCCTTCGATTATTAATTAACCCCTTTCCCCACACCTACTGTGCTGCAAGTCTTCTAACTACTTTCCACTGAACCTAGCTACACACTTGTACATACACAGAATACTGAACAGCACAGCAGGTGCGAGAGAGCTGAAGGCAGCTGAATTGCCTGGAAAATGGTGAAATGTATTCAGATTGCTTGAACTAGAGGATGTTAATATAATTTAGAATGAAACCTGTCATCTTTGCAAATAAAATTCATTTTTGCTGAGAAGGTGGGTTATATAATACTGCCTAACAAAGCACCAGAAATTGTATTGCAAAGAATAAGCCTCTATCGGGGTGTAATCCTGCAAGCTGCTAATACTCTGGCTTTCAAGCAAATCACTTCAGCATGTAATGAACTTTGACTGTACGCAGCCCCTGTTTAAGCATACACTTGCATACTTTGCTTGCTCACAGCTACAATGCTCAACGCCTGACAGGAGTGAGTGAGCTCTGAGGATTAGGTTACCAAAGACAGATTTTGTGACTCAATATCATAAGAGTTCTGATTTTGGGCACCTGGTCACTACAGTAGAACTTATTGTCCTGGGCCAGAAACAGTGACTACAAAAATGAGATGACTCCTGGTGTTATCACTGAATGGGGACTGACTGATAAAATACAGATCAAGGTACATCTTCAGCACACAGCAGATCCTTGAGAGCTGAAAGCCACTGAATTATTTCAAAGAAAGCCTAAGAGGCTGGACAGGATGTCTTCCTCCAAATTTAGGCCGCAACTCTAAAATCTAGCACCTGGGATTCCTAACCCTGAATTACCTTCAGAAGTTTGGAGATCTGTATCCTTTTTCCCATCCTTCAAGCAACACAAGCAGATGCACAGAACACACACACCAAAAACCACCAACCCCAAACCCCAACACCCTCAACCCAAAAGCAAAAAACACACAATCCAGAAAATCTCAGGAACGAGCTGAATCTTTTATTCTAAAATATATACAAGGGGATGAGATCATGCATTTGGTCTTAACCACTGCTGTTCCAGCTCAGCCTCCTCTGTGGCTCTGAGTTGGTGGTGACTCGGGACTATCAGAAAGAAAGCTCATCTCTACAATCCGTAGACATGAACTAATGTTTAAAGCAACTACTGTGGCTACTCATGTCTGAGGAAAAAGCTTCCATTCTGAGTAGGTATTATTTTACATCTCTGACAGATAAATTTTGTTCATAGGTCATTAAATACAACTAAGAAAGCCAGAGATAAACCCCTGTGATTTTGGGATAGTTCAATAACAAAAGTGCATCCTACAAAACCCTCCATGTTGGGGGGAAACCACCAACAAAAAAATCGTCTTTTTCACAGACTCATACAAGATGCAACTGTCATTCTATGAGAAAAACACTTACAGTTCAATTTCTTTATAAATATGTGGAGGCAGTGTACAGTGCATGAGGTTTTGCCACTCTTCTGCTGTACAAACACTGTGGTAGGATAGTTTCTCCATCGTTACACGGTAAATACACTCTGAATGGCGAATTCTGTGGTACATCTGAAAAAGGGAAGTCATTCATTCATGTGAAATTTTTATAAAGGAAAAAACATTTCTTTCCTGTATTCAAGCATTTTTTCTTAAAATACACATCTGCAGAAACGTTAGTGCTTTCAGATGCTCAACTTCACACTTTAGAAAAGTGACAGATCATATGAAACTCAGTACTTCTGGAAAACTAGGCCTTCTATCACATCATTCTGCATCTACTCACTCGGGTAAACATCTAAGGCTTGGCTGATTTTTCACTGCGTCTGAGCTCTCTCAAGAAAAAGAATTAAAGTTCAGGAGTCAGAAACAGAGCTCAGTCCCTTGCAATATGTTAACAGAAAGAAAACTGATAACAGGGCACAATTCACATTTTGTGCCACTGCAAGAATTCAGTTATCAATGCTACCTATTAAAGAACTGCTACCTAAGCACAGTAAAAAGTACATGAGATGTTTATCATACCTACATCACTACGCAATAGCTGTGAAAAATAATTATTGAGAGGTTCAGACAGCTATGGCAGATGTGGCAGGGTCTGTAAACAAGTGAGGACACAGTAATTTTACTAGTAAAGATAATACTCTGGAGCACTGTGCCCTGAACGGTAACATTCACCATCTAAAAACAGTGAACTCGCACATAATTGAGCGACTGCATATTCCTAACTTTCATTCATATGCAGGCCTTTTACTTGCCTTGAATCACGTGGAATAAGTTTAAGTAATTGTTAGTAAAATTTCCTGCCTCAGTATATGGCAGCATGACGCTGGTAAAATGGCTTAATATAAATCATCAGCTTAATTGGCATTGCATTGTTATCTTACCTGCTATGAACACGACACATTTCTTTCGCGTTGCATTTTTATTGCATTTATTGCATTTTTGTACTTCATCGAAGCACAGAACGGTTTGGGTTGGAAGGGACCTTCAAGATCATCTAGTTCCAACCCCCCCTGCCATGGGCAGGGACACCTTCCACGAGACCAGGTTGCTTAAAGCCCCGTCCAACCTGGCCTTCGACACTGCCAGGGAGGAGGTAGCCACAGCTTCTCTGGGCAACTGGTTCCAGTGTCTTACCACCCTCACAGTGAAGAGTTTATTCTTCATACTTATTTATCATACTTAAATACTTATATAGTAATGATCATTAAATTGCTTATGCTTCCTACAGGAACAGTAATTTCTGCAACGATAAATGGTTTCAAAATAAGAATAGCTATCCACTCTTATTTAGAAGCATGAATAATTATGAGTATACAGCACAGCATATAAATGTATAAATGGGTATCTTTGAATATTAAGCACATGGAGGTGAGAGAATACATAGCATCTCCATCCCCCAGTTAAATCTGTAAAACATGTGATCTGAAATTATAAAACTAAATAAGAATCATACTTTCTAATGGAAAAGAGAAGACAGACAGATATCACTCATATTTCAGAACTTGCTCTCTCAGTTTAACTGCACAAAATTGATGTATCCAGAGTACAATTATCTCGGAAAGCATCAAATGAATCCCTATCATCCTCTTAAAATACAATTATTCAGCAAAGAAAGCATTGATTCCTGTTTCCTCATTAATTCAACGAAACATACTTATGAATCACTTTAATAATCTGGAACATCAAAATCCTTAAGTAGGATTCTAAGTCTTCCCGTTATAACCAACAGCTTACAAAACTGTAGATAAAACTTACATTAGCACAGTGTAAGGCTAAAGCACAAAAGACTGCAAACATTTTAAAGTTGTTCTCATCAGTTTTAGAGAAGGCACTTCCACTTATTTTGTTCACCATCTGCACAACACCTATAACACTTCCTCGGCTTACAATAGGCATGCACAGGATATTTCTGGTTGTGTAGCCTGTGTAGAGGTCTACTTCTCTGGAGAGCCATAAAAGAGAAAGGAAAAAAAAAAAAAGAAGAGTTAATGTTATTAATGAATATCTATTCCTTGATTCTTGGAAATGTTGATGTACAATACACTAAATAGTTTTAAAGTAGCGTAATTAGTACCTGCAAGAAGTTCACCTCCAAAGCTCTCAACTATTCCCATCTACTCTATCATATTTAGAAAGAACTTTTTAATCCTTTAATCTCCATTTGCAATACAAAGAATTAGTATTTCCTCAAACGTACAGTCAGCTTATTCATAAAATTAAAGAATACATTCAGGTACTTAGGCACCTTATTTGTTAGTGAACTTTTTTTTTTCTCCCCTGAAACTGTTAAGATTTAAAGAAATAAGTTAATAAAGAAAATCAGCAACAGTATACTTAACTGGGCGAAGTTCCATAACAGGAAAAGCAACTCAATTTTTCTCCATTATCTTTATCTTTTTGTCCTGGTTTTGGCTGGGATAGAGTTAATTTTCTTCCTAGTAGCAGTTACAGTGCTGTGTTTTGGATTTAGTATGAGAATAACACTGATAACACACTGATGTTTTAATTGTTGCTAAGCAGTGCTTAACCCAAGTCAAGGATTTTTCAGTTTCATGTGCTCTGCCAGGGAGCAGCTGCACAAGAAGCTGGGAGGGAGCACAGCCAGGCAGCCAACCCGAACTAGCCAAAGGGATATTCCATACCATAGGATGTTCATGCTCAGTATCCAAACTGGGGGGAGTTGGCCAAGGGGGTGGATTGCTGTGTGGGGACTGGCTGGGCATCGGTCAGCAGGTGGTGAGCAAGTGCACTGTGCACCACTTGCCTTTTCTTGGGTTTTATTTCTCTCTCTTTTTTTTGTCATCTTCCTTTTCATTACCATTATTTTATTATTATTTTATTTTAATTATTAAACTGTTCTTATCTCAACCTACGAGTTTTACTACTTTTTTTTTTTTTTTTTCCCCCCCTCCTTCAATTCTCTTCCCCATCCCACCAGACAGGGAGGACTGAGCAAGCTGTTACATGGTGCTTAGTTGCTGGCTGGGGTTAAACCACAATTTAATTAAAAAAAAAAAAACTTTTTATTTGTATTATAAAAATGTATCCGATGGCTAAAGTACTCAAATAGATATCTATATGCTGCCTCCTCATCAGAGGATAACAGCTCCATGAATGCATCCTGATACGAAATTCAAGTAGTAAATGTAAGTAAAGGGTTTTAATAAGCTATCTTCCCCTCCCACGAATAACATCCTACCTGTTAAAGCGTGGATCTGCATAGGCATCAGGGATGTTAAGGACTTCTCCTGTTCTTGCCACTTGACCAGCTATTCCTTTTTCTATAGAAAATCTGCAAAAAACAAAAATGTGTGTTAGCCACAATATGAGCTACCTGGAAAAACATTTCTCCAGTGGAGTCTGTCTTGAGCACGGTAACGGGCATTTGCTCCCAACCAGCGTCATTTTTATGCTTTTAGGAGAAAAAAATTTTACAAGACAACAACTGGTAGTAATCAATAAAATAAAAAAGCACATACTAATAGATATGTTCTGAAAATACTTTTTATATAACTACATAGTTTAATACAAAAGGTGCCGTGATATGACCATGTTAGTGACAAAAATTCAGTCTTCAATAACCCTGTGGGTTATGCCTAATAAACATGACATTTGTACCGAATGTGAGACTGGTGTTTACCTTTACAAACTATTGTTTTTATCATGGCTTTTACATACTTATTGTTTCTTTAGACACACCACAGGTAATATGGAGCTTGTTTCTTCAGGAGAGGCAGGCGGATTTGGTAAAATAAACTTTGGAAAAACACCACTGGAAATTTCAAAGCTAAACATTAGACGCATTTGCCATGGACACTTCAGAATAACTAGCTTGTTTCATCTCATGACATGCAAAAAATTGTACTAATTGCATCCTTTAATCGCCACAACAAATATACTCCGGCTGAATCAGAAAAAAAGCCTGTCTTGCGATGAAATAATTTTCAATTTTTTGACATAAAACAGTTACAATATACAACCACAAAAGAATTTGCGGAGAAAAATTAGTAGAAAGAATGGCATGTGGAACACTTTCAAATCTAAATGTAACCATGTAGTATCCTGCCCCCACTGAAGTCAGTGAAAAAGCAGACAGGATTTCACCCTGCACACCTGATTTTAAGTTAGTTTCTTCTGCTGCTTATGATATGTACACCACACCAACTTAAGGCTCCTTCCTGATGACTGACTGACTCAGTGTCACTTTCTTACAGATATTCAAGTTGTACTTCTTTTTCGGTATACAGCACCTGTGAAATGGCTCACACCCTTGCACTCAGAGTCAACATTTCAGTAATTTTCATACAGAGAAGACAGAAAGATGTAAGCAAGAAAAACAATTGTCAAGAAGGAATATGAAAGTGCATGTTAAAGCAGGCCACCCTCTTTAATTTACACCACCTCCTTGCTTGTCAGTATGTAAATTGCACCAATTTTGACTCCTTCCATTCTCACTCACACAATGTAGTAAGTAGGAGTAAGTTTGTCTAAAGGAGTCTAAGCGAAGACATGAATCACATCTCATATTGGCCCAGAACTTTAAAAGTATAAGGAGGAAATTGTAAAAATCCTGAGAAAATCTATGCTGAGTATTTTAACAAAATTTTAGTGCAGGATATTTAGTCATACATTTATTTCTTTTAAAGAAGCTGCAGGTTTAAAACCTGTGTTTCTGAAAAATTTGATCTGTGTCTATTCAGGATTCATAGGTTTTGAAAAGTAAAAAGTGTTATATTTACTTTGTGGCTTCGGCTCTTAATTTAAAAAGACGTGCATATGTGTAAAAATTATGTACTTGTGACACGAAGCAGAAATACACATCAAGTTTAGGCAGAGAATCCTGAGCATGCATTATAAGCCCATACACATTTTCAAATTCACCACTTCAAGCATACTGCAGAACCACAATTATCTAAAAGTTTGAAAATACTCTAAGTTCACATGAGAAAAAGTAAAACTAAATTACCGGACTTGAAATCTTCAACACCAATGACCAGTCCATACTAAATTCTACATATGCTTAATGCATCCGTAAGTAGTACAAATTGTGATTTCCTTACTTTGGATGTGCTTGAATCGCACAAATTTCAATTCCTCTTGGGAACCCTCTTGGGAAAAAACGTCTCATACTGGCAGACTACGGATTAGGTGCACCTTTACCTGCACCTTTACCTACCTCAGAACACCTCTGTTTTTTTCCCAACATGATTTCCAAAAGGACCGCCTCCGGAAGACGGCATTTCCAGGAGTGACGTTATAGCTTCAGAGACGTTGTTTCGATGGCACTGCAATGTCATTCCCAGAAGTACTACCTTCTGGAGGCGGGTCCTGGTGGGAATGATATCACAGTATGACAAATATTGTCAGGGTACCTGCAGATAGGCACAGAGACTGGGTAATAAAATGCCTGCACATCCGTAGTTATAATGAAACGCATTCTTCTGCTAGCTATTCTTACCTTATTTCTTTGGTCTTCTTGAAGACAGGTTTCCCATCATTTTCTTCTCCAATATCAAAAAGGTCTGAATACAGCTCCTTATTTTTGTGGTCAACCTGGAAGAGTGCACACCTATCTGCATTCACCAGGTTTTTTGCATATATCTGTAGACAAAAAACAAAACTAGAGGTAACGGTCATGAGTGAGTTAGATTATCTTCAGTCATTTATCTGATAAAAATGTTAAGTCCCTAGAAGATAGAAGTTTTGAGAAATTATCCAGTATGAAAATCTGTTTCAAGCAGCATCAATCTTGACAGCAATCTTTTAGGATACAAATCAAAATGAAAGCGTCTCTTATTCAGTATTTTTTTTGAAATTAGAATGTTCTTCTCTTTGAGAAAAGTGGGAATAGAGGCTTGAATGTTCGCTAAAATAAAAAAGGCTTTTCTATTGCACTGTTTTTCAAGCACGAGGAACGCTTTTCAAAATGGTACCTTTCCTCCCTCTCTGTTTAGATATTTTTCACCTTTACGCAATTTTTAAATAGAGAGGGCATAGCAAGACTTAAGAACATTTTTGGCTTTTTGTCTTTATTTTCAATGCAAATACATTGGTACTGAATATCCAGCAAAGACAAACGTAATACAGAGGCTAGTGTTTGTTACTAAAAAAGCTAAATGTGGCTGTAATAAATAACAATGAACAAATAGGGACGATCGGAAGTGTCATTATGGATTGCCCTAGGCAGCAGTTTAGGAAATGGCTGCGCCCTCCTGATGCTAGGGACAGTTCTTGCACAAAAGCTGAGACTTAGTAGTTCTACATGAACTAGTCAAAGCCCACAAAGTACCTCCCATAGTCAAGAAAGTACCACAGTACACCAATAGACTTGGCACAGTCTCTATCATACTTTGAACCAGCTAGTTTTATCTTAGAAAAACTAACTGCAGCCAGCACTGATTGTCAGAACAGAATTTTGTCTCAGGAACACAGCAGCTCTTCACTGAAATGTTTCTCGGACATATGAGGGACTTCCTGAGATAAAGAGTGAACCAAAGACAAACAAGGATCACTGTGTTAACTTAAGATGACATATTGCCAGGTTCAAGAACCTGCTCTATCCAATTCACATGTCTTCTATGCTTCTCATCTGCTCAGAAGGTATAGTTACTGCATGGCAGAGCATGATCTGAGGTGGATCTTGCTTAACTTTTAAAAATGGTATGTAATAGCTATCTAGTCATTCAGCCACAGAAAGAGGCTGACATCTTGGTGTGCAATACATGTTGGTGGCATGTCTCAAGACTTCCATATGAATGAATTAACTTCCCCACCTTCTCTCTAGTCTTTCAAAAATAAAAACAAAGAACAATTAATGCAAACAGACAATTGTTAGACCTTCGCAGAGAAAACCTATTAGACGATAAATCATTACCTGGGAGACTCTAATCCCATGTGATATGAGCTGTGTAATGGGAACTGCACAGAAACCATCCAGACCAACTCTACAAAACTTGCAGGGCCCTCCCGTACCAACAGAATCTGTGGCTGGAAAGATTCTGTTGCTTTCTACTCCATTTGCTCTATCAGAGCAGTAGAAAGTCAACGAGACTGCAAGCTAAGAGGTAATTTTTGTGAAGTATTTCCCACTCAGAGCATTAAAAACTTTCAAGATCTCAACCACTCACCATTTATTCCTTTGCTTAAAACACAGTGAATATAAACTGTGCCAAAGGACAAGGTGTCCAGTAAACGCTTCTCTACACCTATTCAGAAACTGTATCAGATTTCTTTATAAAATCAACAGCACAGTGTTGATTTTATACAATTAAACTTTTTTGTTCTAATGCATATGACTCAAGAACTTACCTTGGTCACGACTCATGCTTTTCAAAAATAACTGCTTAAACATTAGTAATTGACAGAAATAGTTAATGGGATGAGAAAGTTGTACTTCTCTAAAGCCCTAGCTCAAATCCAGACCAGCGGCTGAAGGGGAATATCAGTACAAAAGGTATGCTTTGCATTTTCAACAGTGAGGCCAGTGACCACCTTTTGGGTAGGTTGCTTGTAACTACTTAAGCGTATCAGTAAGAAAATTTGCAAGGCAACTTGAACTTCTGCTTCCCTTCCTTGCATCTATATTCAAAAACACCCTTATACCACTAACTTCACTAAGGGTTTTTAATGAAAATAAAAATTAAAAGAATGCTAAAATCCATGTACTTTTCGCTTTATTATTACATGAACAAATCAAACTGTAAGTGCAATCACCAAAGGGAGAAGTAGTGAGGTGAAACTGAGTTCCACTCTTTTCTCACTGTGAGACACAGAATAAGCCACATAATGATAAAATCACATTCCCATAGAATGGCAACAAATGTGCAAACATGTAATTCAATTAATTGGCCCAAGAAACAGCCAACTGCTACAGCTTACAAAGGAAGCCGAGTATGAAACATCTACGCAAGTTAAAATGCAGAATCATGAAGCAGCCAAGCATTAGAAAAGAAGAAGAAAGAGTAAGTGTATTTTACTGCCAACTGTTTTCCACCAGACCTCTATTCATAGGGAAGAACAGGGAAGAATATCAATATTTGTTCTCAATGCCGTATGTTATATTACACCAGTTCTTTTAAATGTTAAGCTATTTTTAAGCAGTTCATTTAAACTGGAAAAGTCAATGTTCAGAAATGTGTCCTATGTGCAGAATTCTTGTCTGTGTACTAACTAGAATAAGACAAACACTGCAGAATATTTTCCATTACTAATTCAAGTTTCTAAATAAAACCACTTTAATATTGCTTGCATTCTATGTTTGTTGTCTTTGAATAGTCTAGCTAAGAATACCACTTTGAAGATTGGAGCAAGTTTTGGAGCACTGTTGGAGAGCAACTTTTTGAACCTGTAAATTGAAACAATAGTATCACAGACCTGATTTAAGATTTATACTCAGGAAAAAGAGCTGCAGCATACAACGAACGTGCCTAAAGCTAAAAAGCATAATTCACGTATCAAACACTCAAAATGTGCTATGAACAACCAGCCCATATGTATTTGTAAACACTATTCAGGAATAATTCTGAATTCAAAATTGATTCAGAAAATAATAATCTGCTTCTGAACTGTAATTCACTGATTAGTTACTTCAAGGGACTTGGCTTTAGTGGCTTTTATAAAACATCGACTGACTCTGTCACTCTAGTTATGGGTGTAAATACTTTTGCAAAGCAAAAGGGATGTCATGTCTTGCACATCTCATTCAGCAACTGGAACAAACACTCTAGGAGTAATGTTTGAACTCTAGTCCTTCCTACAGATCGTAACTTTTTCAGGAGTGTTTCGCAGTATGTACCAAACTGAATTTAGGAAAAAAGAATAAATACAATAAGCTGAAATAAAAAGTAAAACAGAAGCCTTTCTGTTACAATTTTCAAACCTTCTCTAAAACACAATAGTAGCTATTTAGTTCAGAGACAGTCATGTTTCATTACTTACGAAAGCTGTGAAACAAACTTTTTGCAACAATGAAAAAAATTAAGCTGACCTTTGACACCTTCTTCCGTGCAGAGATATTAATAGTGTTTGAATTTCGTGTCCATTATAAACAGCTCATGTATCTTAATAATGTTTTATCTTACTACAAGGAAAGAAGGACTTTTATAACTAAGACTAATAAACTTGGAAGTGAAGAAGACAACTTACCATTATATGTTCAAGTAGAGAATCTATTGCAACTATATTATCAAAATACGTTCTGCAGAGAAAGAAAAGTCAATAAATATTGGCATTTAGTCAAATACTTTTCAAAAGGCTGTCACGGGCTCTTGTTTCACAACTGCTTAACAGCAGAGCCCAAATAGGTGAGGACAAACCCCTGCAACTTGAAAATCAGATTGGCTTACTACAGCACAAGGGCATTCAGAAATGGTCCTAGCTCTCTTCCTTTAAGCTATTATTCTACAATGACAGAATACCCTATAATATGTAGAATTTTCTCTGTAGAAAGCAAAAAGACTACCAAACACTGCCTACCATATATTGAATAGGCCCCTGATGAGCAACACCAAGAATGTATCAAAATGCTTTGGTACCCTTTACACATTGGAATTTTTAAAAGGAGAAGTAAAAAGTAAAAGAAAAGCAATCCAAAAGATTAAAAAAAAAAATTTCTTCAATTGCAGATATATATTATCTACATGGTTTCAAAATATCTCATTAGGTTTATACACAGAGGACTATGTTCTGAGAAATAATGAAAACTATGTATTGTAGCTAAATTTACATCATACTATCCAACCCTTAAACACTATTTAAAAGGCAACAATTTATAAAACTCTTCTCTATCAGCCCAGCTGTATCACATTGAAGTTGCAGAAAAAGACTGATTTTGTGACTTAAAAAAAAGGTATCTCAGTTTCACAGCAAAATGGTAACTGTCTGAGGACAGTCAAGAACATTGAAAGATAAAGGTCAAACTTATTAGTAAAAGAAGTCTAAATCTTCCACATGCCAAGTCTTAATAACCCTCAGATTACAATGTTCCCAGCAGACAAAAAGACATTGTTCCATGGCCTTGAACATATATACAGCTCAGTTCTGTTTGGGTCTAGTGGAAAGGAAATATATAATATGCTAGTCTTACACGGTCAGGGACATGAAGAGGTGGAGCACTGTATACTATGCCCTTTCTAAAATGTTACAGAACATGTCCCAGTGACATTGCATGCTAACAATTTCCTCACTGAATAGGAAACCTTCTTCTCATGTAAGAAAAGGTACAGATCATTTCTAAGAGGAAACTAATTATTTTCTTGCTGGTGCAAGTCTTTACCCACATGAAGTTCATAAAGCCGTTATTAAATGATATCCCAGTTCTGTGTCTCAAAACATAGGGTTTCTTTTCTGTCAAAACTACACAATTCTAGCAATTGCTAACGCTGTACAAGAGGTATTTTCTTACATAGATACATGCTAACTATTTGTAGTATTCATTGTAATATTTATCTTAAAAATTTAAAATAATCACAAAGTTCTTTTAAAAAAAAAAAATCTCAGTATTACGTAGCAAGAGTAAATTGCCAGCCTGTGAATTTGGTTAGATTAATCCAGAGCTCTCTAGTATACTAGCTCAGTACAAATGTTAGCAACATAAAAGCACTCTGGAAAGGAACATAATGGTGCAAGATGATGCAGCAAGTGGGTAGCTCTGGCAAGGGAGTGATGGAAGTGTCCCTTAGGAGACACTTTGACCATAAAATGAAATTTAAAAAAAGGGTCATCCCTCGGGAAAAAATGCTAGGAAAAACATCTGGATACAGCTCTGGTCTTTCTTTTATTTTATTAGCTATCTCTACTATTTAAAGATGCCAATAGCAGCAACGAAGAAAAAGGGATGAAGGAAGAGCAGATCACCTAAGACACTAAACTGACTTTGCAAATCTAAGTCCAAGCTTTCATACTCTTTCTGTGTTTTCAGTTTAATCTTGCATTTATTGTGACATGAAATTAAAAGAAAACATACTACGTGCAGTTACAGTCTTTGAAAATGAAAACAGAGCCCGCAGAAAATGCAGGGGAAGAACAAGCATGCAGCAGCCTGATTCTTCAAGGATATATCCCTGAAGTGCTGATACTTGTGCATGTGTACATAGATGTCAGAAAAAGGGAAGCAAGCTAACTAACTTTTCATAAAGTCCTTTGAAACATTCTAAAATTGGCCATGAAAAGAGATGGCAAGGCTATCCATCACTTCTCAAAAGAGGGCCACATTTAATTCTGACAGAAGAGGGGGAAGAAAAAAAAAAGGCAAAAAAAACATGCAAAAGACCACAAGAGTAAACACACTCTGTAAAGCATAACTGGATGTTACATTTTCTTCTGCACACCATCAAACACAGTTTAATGGATATACATAATTCGTTCTCGTCCCTGTTCTGAAGTTTGTCCACCCTCCAAGGTATGCCTCTGCACCTGCTTGTGCGCTATAGTGTAAAACACTGGTAGACTGGAAGAGCCATGTTAGAAAATCTCATAAAAATAAATTGATGAGACCATAGTGCACATCACACTTACTTCGATACATCAAGCAAGAAGTCATTCAGCTCAGTCTGCTTGGCAAGGCCCCGGCACACCTGGAAACACAGATCACATTATCATTTGCTCCAGAAGAAGCACTGAAGTCACACAATCTACCCATTTAAGCGGTATGAAAAAAATACCTCTACTAGTATATACATGTGTTACACAGCACTGTATAAAATGAAAAGCTGAGTTTGTGCGCTGGGCTTGAATCTCAGCTATCTAGCTGCTGAGTTAAAACTGTCAAATGCAAGTGACATCTTTCTGAAGACTCTTTGAAAGATGTTGGTTGTTACACTTGTTCATGCCGCCTCAAAGGCTGACATGAATGTGGTTATGGAATCAACTTAATGACACCTCCTTATTCAGATGCTCAGCTCTTCTAAGCAAGTCAAATATTTTGTTTGGTTTCCTCCTTACTATACTTTTATCACTTTTTTCCAGGTTGCAAAGTAGCATGTAGACACAACTGAAGACTGGCATCAGGTAAGTTTAAGTAAGCTAAGTAGCAGATGATATATGCTCAACTTCGGGAGAAATCAGCATGAATATGAACACAAAAAATAGTGCACAAACTACATTTTAGAAGCAAAGTGTTAGATGAAGCAAAGCTTCGAACTATATTTCTACTCCACCTAACTGCATACCCTGTATCTAAAGTACAATTGTACACTGTGTATTACTAGCACAAGCACTGAGGTCAAAAAAAGAAAACAAACCTCCACTGTCTGTACCTTTTGCACAATAAAATATCACTAAGAACTAGTAGTATCTTTCAGCTGTGCAATGTAGATATAAATAAATATGCAAAATATGACAAACTACAAGCCTTACTGTTGCATATAATTAGGTAACTACATACAGTTTCTCGACACACACTACTTCCTAAAGCCCAGCTGTGAGTCTGGCAGGTACGGCCCAACACCAGATCAAAACTTGCATTCTTCTCATGCAAAAACTTGGGAAGGGCAAGTCTTCTACTTAGCAGAAGGGAGAGAAATAGAAGACAAATGGACAGGCTTAAACCAAACTTTCCATGTACTGTTAGGCATGAAAGACTTCTGTTAAAGAGGGAGTCATTCTTACAAGTGAAGCTACAACTGCATGCAATTGCAATTCTACCAGTGCACAATAGTCTATGTCAGCTAGTTCTCCCTAAATGTGCCAGGGTGAATGACCATTCCAAATAAAGTCACTGACTTCCAGGTGGCTGAAAAGAAAAGCAGGAATCTTTGTGTGAGTCTTCTGCCAAGTGCATAAAAGACACCTTGAAAAAACTGTCACCAACTTCCTCCTGCGAGTTGACAGAAGAACCTATTTTAGCACCTTCTGCGAGTTGATGGAATATGTTTAGTTCCAGTGTCACCATCTTCTATAAGCTGAAGTAACAAAACCTGTTAGCAAAGCTGCTGAGGTTTGCTAGAGCAGCTTGAACTGTGTGGAGCTTCATTAGGCACCCAACTAGGGACAGCATGAAGCATCCTTGGTGGAAGCAGTTATAGGACCATGAAGCAGCTAGCAAGGATGGCTTAAAGTAGGCTTAGCCAGCAACATCTAATAATCTCAAACTGAATACCAAAGCAGTAGAAAAGCAATCAGTTGGCCTAGCAGTTGCCTTCTTACAAGAAAAAAAAAAACCTGCAATGTTGTTGTAATTCCATTTTAACAATCATTTATCTACTTTGTTAAAGTTTTTTTTCTTTTAGTAAAAATACTGTTTGTTATTTCATCCACAGTTACAAGAGAGGAAAACTAGCTCAATGAACAGCAAAAATGTTTGCATTTTTCCCAGGTTCAGGAAAGGGGCTTGAATCAATGTTTTAGTAGTGATCTCCACTTAAATTTGATCATAATCCATGTTCCTACTAATCAAGTTCTGGCAGAAGGGTTACACAATGAAAAAATGAAAAACCACCCACACTTACCTGTACTTGATGTATTGCTACTGAAGCCCATGCAAGATTTGCTGTTGCAACCTGAAACAAAAGAGAAGAAACTAAACCCAAAGAAACCTTGAAAACTGCCCATCGGTTATGTGCTTGTTTTCTCTGTCTAGCTGGTAAGTAAATTGACTGAGCTGTTTTAGATAGGCAGGCAGTAACAATTTGTGGGAAGACAGATATTTTGTGAACATCTGAGTACACTTGCGAGTGTTTCAATTTTAGTAAAGGTACATTCAGTCACAAGAGAACAATCCTCATCTCAAAGGATTGTATCAAAAAATGCTTACCAATGCTCTTCAGAAGCGGTACTCGGAACCCATCAGCTCACAAATACAACATCAAAACAAACATCCCATAAGCCAAGGGCTTTAAAAATTACATTATCTACATAGTTGAAAGGCATCTGCCATAGAAATAAAATACCCCGTAACATCTTTCTGGTGCTGTATCTCTCCAGCCACAGCTATTTCCAGCTGCAAACAGGCACTGGTTCTTCCACTACCATTTTGGTGGCAGAAGAACCAGACCCAATTCCTCAGCTCAAGACTAGTATTTTAAGTACAACAGTTTCCAGGCAACATTTCAAATAAGCGTAACATAAACTGCAGTTAACTAAGATGTGCTACCATGCATCATCTCCTGTCCTTGAAACAAATGAGCTTTATAGGAACACAGAGGACAGAAGGTCTGCTGCTGTACACCCCTCCCAAGGTACTGGTTTTTAAATTTTTTTATTTTTATTTTTTTAAACAGAACACATCATACATATTTTATAAAAATGCTAATGGTATCCAAAGGCTTTCTGAAACCTGAAAATGAAAAGAATGTTTTAGCACACTCAGAAAGTGACCTCAAAATATTTTTAATTTACTAATAAAATACTTTTATTTAGCAGCCAGTCTTTTCCAAGTAGAACATTCATGAACTTCTGTTACAGAAGGTGTTTCACGTAACATAAAAGATTCGTAGTTGCACAGAAGAGTGCATGTCTGAGACTTATCTGAAATGTAGATTGATTAATGTAACAGGATAATTTAAAAAAATAAATACATTGTGTATAAGCAGCAGAATCAATGAAGCCTGGTTTTGTATGAATGCCAGTTCTTTGTTCTGTAAGCAGGGACACTGGCACCACCATATTAATCCAGTCCCCTACCATGACCATCACGGGTGAAAAAATACACAGGTGCGACACTGAGGCTGAAGTGACATTGACTGCCCAACTAATACACATGTATGAGCAACACATGTATGCTAGGCTATCTAGGTTACTGATAAACAGAGCATACGACCGGCAAATACTGCTGGTTTTTTCCTTCCTTGGGAGAGCTAGTTTTAGTATCTCTTGTCTGCACATTTTCTGTTCTTTTCACAAGAATAATTCCTGCTCGGTACAGCTAAACTGCTCCATGGTACATCTTGTACCACTATCGAGACAACAGACCTGGCTAGAACTCACCCCATTTTGTCCTAACCTCTGTGTTCAGGTTCCCTTCCCTGGGGAAGGGTACAGAAAGAAATGAATGGTGCATTCATCTTAATGTGAGCCATCTTAACGTGTAGATGGGACATAACAAGGTTCCTCACCCAGACATGAAAGCTAAGATGCACCTCTAACACCTTTAATACAGTGATAGCCTCTGAGACACCTGCTCCATTTTCAAATTTGTACTCGGCTAACAACTCGTAACTTTGGACTGACAAATGGACACGTACTGACAACGTAGCTACACAGGCCTCACAGAAACACAGTAAACCATGCAGTGTAGAGAACAGTCACGGAAGCTGGAAGATGGATATGAATGAGACTATCTGGATGGGAAAGCATCAGAAGGAAAAAAAGAAGTAGACGAGAGGTTTATGAATGGCACACAGATTAGCAGGTCACCCAAGTACCAGCACATCTACACACAGTTTCTAAGGACATCTAGGTCAGGAGACAAAGGACAGTGAGTAAATCTTAACAACTCACAGAAATGGGACAAGCTAGAGAAACAAAAGATGTCAGCTCCCAAAACCAGCACATGGTTTTCAACCTAGGAGAGATCAGGCAACATAAGGACTCAACTGCCAGCATCCCTTGTCCTCCCACTGCAAGGTATCCTGGAGAGACCACCTGGACACACACATCTTGGTGCCCGAGAGTGTGTGGATGTAAGAATGTGAATGCTAACACCTGAAATATCTTTTGCCTCACTTTTGTTTTAAAATAAAATCGCTGACCCCTCCCATGAGACCTAGCATTGAGACTTGCTATACTGTTGCTACAACGTTGCAACATTATGTTTTACCATTGGGTCATTCATTTGAGAAGCCACACAAAAAAGGTCACCTAAAAAAATCCAAACAAAAACACCACCACAAAAAAAAAAAAAAAAAAAAGAAATCTCTAAATCTTTCCATACTGTAAAATAAAGCTTTACTAGAAAGTTAAAATTGAGACTCGGGATAAATTGGAAGTGTCCTTTTTATATAAAGTGATTTCATTTTTTGACAGCTGATTCACACTCGTATTTCATTCATCTGGTCTGCATTAACTTCTCTAACGACTCTGTATTGAGGTTACAATCAATAAAGAAATCTTGAACATGTTTTTCCACAAAGCAGCACAAGGTAAAACTCTTGATGTGTCCCTGTACCTGTATATGTAAATTTTACCTCCTGTGACTGAAAATACAAATCACTACCTATTGTTTTCAATAAGTAACACTTGATGAGAATAAAACTCAAGTACAAAAAAAAAGGTAAAAAAAACCCACG